GTCGCTCCCTCAGTCGTTCCCTTGGGGGGACATGGCTCCCTCGGTCACCAGACGGAGAGCAGAGCAGGAGAGCCGAGGCTTGGGAGGACTTGGCTCCCTCGGTTGGGGAAAACCCAGAGCGTGGGGAGCACCAGGAATGCTGGGAATCATATTTCTGGTGGCAGACAGATCTCCTAGACCAGGGGTCCTCAAACTACGGCCCGTGGGCCACATGCAAATACATATATTGTATTTGTTTCCGTTTTGGTTTTTTACTTCAAAATAAGATATGTGCAGTGTGCATAGGAATTTGTTCATAGTTTGTTTTTTATAAACTATAGTCCGGCCCTCCAACAGTCTGAGGGACAGTGAACTGGCCCCCTTTTTAGGGATGGAGGGAAAGCAAAGGTGAGAGACATAGGTAAAATCAGAGTGTCTAGGAAAAATTAAAGGAAAATATCTAAAACTCCCAGGAAATCTCCACCAATGAAGCAAAGAAAAAAAATGCCTTTATTATTCTGTGAGCAACAAACCAAACTGGGCTGGGGGTCTCAGACAATTCACTCATATGATTGCAAAGACAGACAGAGACTCCTGGATTGGAGAGGGCTCCCCTGAGGGCTCCCAGATTGGAGAGGGTGCAGGTTGGGCTGAAGGACCCCTCCTCCACCACCACCTCCCCCCCAGTGCACGAATCTTTGTGCATCGGGCCCCTAGTAAAGAAATAAAATAGCTTGATCAAAATTCCACAAAGCAGTAAACTATCTGAATTGCTACTTGTTAGAACCTAGTATTTTAAAATATTCTGATATGCAAATTTTATAATATATCCATCATGCCATATTGTTTTATAATAGGTAAGTCAAGAAGTAATGTGAGCCCTGACCGGTTTGGCTCAGTGGATAGAGCGTCGGCCTGCGGACCGAAGGGTCCCAGGTTCGATTCCAGTCAAGGGCATGTACCTTGGTTGTGGACATATCCCCAGTGGGGGTTTGCAGGAGGCAGCTGATCGATGTTTCTCTCTCATTGATGTTTCTAACTCTCTATCCCTCTCCCTTCCTCTCTGTAAAAAATTAATAAAGTATATTTTTTTAAAAAAGAAGTAATGTGAGCTTAAAATTCTAGTTTCCATATCATTTCTTACTATAGTAAAGCTTAAAAGAAAATAAAAATACCCAACTTTTATAGAGGGTTGTGAAACAAAACACATAAACCACTTATGGGAGTATTAGTTGCTTTAACCACTTCAGAAAACAAACTGGAAATATGTACAAGAAGTTTCAGAATGATACTGCCATTCCACTGAGGAACATCTTTTCTAGGAAAGTTACTACATAAAATATGTGTTCCCTCTAGCTTTACTTGTAATAAAGAAGAGTTAGAAAGATAATCGACAACATAGGAATAAATAATTATAGCAAAATACAAATGATAGAATTTTATGTAGCCATTAAAATGTATTTTAAAAATCACCAAAACTAATCTTTGATGTTAGAAGGGAGAATAGTTACTCATAGTGGCTAGTACAGAAAGAGGGCAAGAGAGGAGTTTTTGAGGTGGTCTTGACTTAAATGCTGATTATATAGATGTATTCAGTTTGTGGAAATTTGTCAAACTGTACAATTACTGCATGTGCACTTACATCCTATATAATAAAAGTGTAATATGCAAATTGACTGAATAGTGGAACAACCAGTCACTGTGATGCACACTGACCACCAGGGGGCAGATGCTCAATGCAGGAGCTGTCCCCTGGTGGTCACTGCGCTCCCACAGGGGGCGTGCCACTCAGCCAGAAGCTGGGCTGATGGCTGGTGAGTGCAGTGGCTCGCCTCCGCGGCAGCGCTAAGGATGCCCAACTGAAGCTTAGGTCCGCTCCCTACAGCCATCAGCAGGACATCCCCCAAGGGTTCCTGGACTGCAAAAGGGCACAAGCTGGGCTAAGGCCACGAATGTTTGCACTGGGTCTCTAGTGTAAATATATTATACATAGGTCAAAATTTTAAATATGTTATACATAGTCTCTTTAAAAAGGAGATAGGCTCAAAAAGTATCAAGTGAAAGAATCAGGATAAAAAATTGTAAATACAATATGTTCAACTAGCTAAAAATACATAAAATCTAATGGAAATACAACAAAAACAATTCCCAGTTTTTAAATTTTTTAAATATATTTTTATTGATTTCAGAGAGGAAGGGAGAGGAAGAGAGAGAAACATCAATGCTGAGAGATAATCATTGATTGGCTGCCTTGTGCACACCCCTAATTGGGGATGGAGGCCCAACCCGACATGTGCCCCTACCAGGAACCAAAACGTGACCTCCTGGTTCCCTGCAACATTCAACCACTGAGCCACACCGGCCAGACTCATTTTAAAAGCTATTATGATTTTTAATTTATGAAATCCACGGGATCTTTGTCATCCATCTAACAAGCCACACACTACATGTATTAGCTTCAAAAGTGGGTGAGAAGAATAATTAAGTTATAACTGAACCATTAGTGTAATCTATATATATCCTATATATATAAAAGCCTAACCAACCAGATGACCAGCCAGTAGCTATGACATTTACTGACCACCAGGGGGCAGATGCTCAACACAGGAGCTGCCCCCGGTGGTCAGTGCTCTCCCACAGTGGGAGCTCTGCTCAGCTGACCCATGGGTGCCAGACGCCGAACTCATGGCTGGCAAGAGCAGCTGCGATGGTGCGTCTCCCGCCTCTGTGGCAGCGCTACTGCGCAGTGGCAGATGCAGTGGGGCCAGAATGAGTGGGAGTGGCGCTGGCCATGCTCGGGCTCCTCCCAGGCCACCTGCTGCTTCGTGCACTACTACGGGGGATGTCAGACTGCCGGTTTCAGCCCAATCCCCGCAGGCCAGGCTGAGGGACCCCACCAATGCATGAATCTGTGCATCGGGCCTCTAGTAATGATATTAAAAGTAATTTGAAAACTGTCTTGAGATTAGACTGTAGACAGGAAATATCACACTTCACACAAAATAATCATGCGCTTTCTTAAATCTGAACAAATGATTAGAAAAAACCCTACAAAACTTACTTCCTGAAAATCACATGGCAAATTGATACAGGCTGGAAATAAACATCATCTATAATAATAAAATCATAATATGCTAATTAGACCAGCCAGCCAAACGACCTTCCAGACGTCATTCCAGATGAAGCCACAGTGGCGGCGGTCAAGGCAGAGGCAGTTAGGGGCGATCAGGCAGGCAGGCAAGCAGTTAAGGGTGATCAGGCAGGCAAACAGAGTGGTTAGGGGCATCAGGCAGGCAGAGTGGTTAGGGGTGATCAGGCAGACAGGTGAGCGGTTAGGAGCCAGTGGTCCCGGGTTGTGAGAGGGATGTCCAACTTCCAGTTTAGGCCTGATCCCGCAGGGATCCCTGTGGGATCAGGCCTAAACACCAGCAGCCGGACATCCCCAGAGGGGTCCCAGATTGCAAGAGGGTGCAGGCCAGGCTGAGAGACCCCTCCACCCCCATGCACGAATTTCATGCACCAGGCCTCTAGTTTTTAGATAAGCACACAACAACTGCTGATGGCAACAGGACTTCTAAATTTTCTCAGACCCATCAAGAGAGGCTTCGAATCAAGCACGTGTTGCTCAGTGGTTGAGTGAGGACCTATGACCCAGCAGGTCACGGCTGGATTCCCAGTTAGGGCACATGCCAAGTTGCCAGCTGGATCTCCAATACGGGCGTGCAGGAGACAGCTGATAAATGATTCTTTCATCATTGATGTTTATACCTCTCTCCACTCCCTTCCTCTCTGAAATCAATAAAAACATTTTTGAAAGAGAAGCTTCAAGCATTCAAAGAAGCAACTTGCAAAGCAAATAACCTTCAAGTTTTGGCTGTTTACATGTAGCTCCGCATTAATGTTTCAATAACTAGTCACCTCTGCCCTACCAGCACAGCTCAGTGGTTGAGCGTGGACCTATGCACCAGCGGGTCACGGTTGCTGGCTCCATCCACAGTAGGGGGCATGCAGGAGGCAGCTGATAAACGATTCTCTCTCATCATTGATGTTTCTCTCTCTCCTCCTCCTTTCCTCTCTGAAATCAATAAAAATATTTAAAAGAAAAAAAAAGAACCAACCAACTTCCAGTGTTCGGCAAATTTGGATTGGAGATGACAACCTAGAACATGCATATTAAATATTAGCATAAATAAATCATTAAACATAACATATGCGGGGGGGACAAATAATCAAGTGATCTAAAACCACACATACACTATCCACGTTTTCGACCTTCTGATATAACGCTCTCTTTCTAGATAGAACGGAGAACAAGTTAGTAATTTACAATTTTACGTCAATTTATATCTGACTTTCCGTTACCTGCAAACCGAAAGTCACTTGGAGTACCGCCACCTTACACACACACACACTCACACTCACAGTAACATGCGGCGCCCACGCACCCTTCTGCAACCATCCAAGTGACCTCTGCCTAGGAGCCTCGGGGTGCTTGGGTGGCCAGGGAACATGGCGACACGGCCCCCGACCCGAGAAAAACACCTGCCCCGCAGTACCTCTCAACTCGCAAAGGCCTCCCTGAGAGTGAGCGGTCGGAGGCGAACCTAAGCCTCAGGATACGGTAGAGGAGAGCGGGATCCCGTCCGAGCGGGACGCGCAGGAAGAAGTTGGAGGTGGAGAGGTCAGAGGCTCAGAGGACGGGGTGAGGGGGGAAGGAGCCAGAAGAACGGAGGGACGGTAAAGGCTGACGTGCCCCACTGTGCACGTCCTACTCACCGGCCGGTCGGTCTCGGATCTGGGCACCGCGAGAACGCGGCGAAAGCGGGGCGCCCCAGGCCCCCCCAGCCAGAGGTCCACGCAGCGGGCCCCCCGCGAGCGAGCCAGTCGGGGGGCGTAGGTCGACAACGCCCTCCTTCCAGCCAATCACCTCGAGCACTCGGGGGCGCGCTCCGGATGACGTCAGGGCGTGGCTAGCCGCCTACTTCTCGCTCGGGGCGCTTCCGGTCTCTACCAGGCCACTTCCGGGTTTCCCCGGTTTGACGGTTTGAGCGCGAATCGCGGCGAGTCCGCCTCGCTGAATGGTTCGAGGGGAGCGGTGGGTGAGTAGTGAAAGCCTTGCCTGGCCCGTGGGTGCGGTACGAGAGGGAGTTTTGTGACCCACCCGTTCGTGGCAAACTCCGCGGTTTGCATTTGAGAAGCGTGAGGTGGCTTTTCCGAAGGCGGGGGAGTGCGAGCCGGTCTGCCCTGCCGGGCCACGGGTTGGATTATTTGACTCGCGAGGAGGGAGTGGAGCCATGCTGGTTCGCCCCTCCCTTCCGCGAACCATCCTCACCCTCGTCCCCCTGCCGTCATCTCCCTGCAGCCCGTGGCGGGACCCGGCGCCGCCTCGGAGCTTAGTGTCTGGCCTTGAAGCCCCTGCGGTCGGCGGCCGCCGGCGTCACTGTCCAGAGGTCAACATTGGGCTTGTGTTTTGCCACTCGCGGTGCCCACATCTTCTGCCCTCGCCGAGGTCGGGACTGAGAGCCTTGGTTTCCGCGAGTGTCAGCAAGCTGGTAAGGAAGCGGGCAGCCTCGGTCCTCCCTGTGTCCCACCCCGGAAAGCGTGCGTTCTTCCCGCACAATGAAGTCGGCCCCGGCCACCGTCCCCGTTATTTCTGTCCAGGCCTCCGGGGCACGTGCAAGGGTCGCGGAACGCACCCGTCTCTTCACGCTGTTCTGTCATCGGGTGTTCGCTCCTTTCTCGCCAAGACGTCATTGTCCTTCTGGCTCAGTATTTCAAAATGTAACTCAAATATTAATTTTTTTATCTGAATACTGTATATTCTCTCTCACACACCGTCTTTAGATAGTCATTCACTCATTTGTCTTATAATATTTGTCACATTGTATATAACTGTCAATCATAATTGTGGGTTGTTGGTTTTTTTGTATCTGTACCCACTAAGCTGTTTCCTGTGGATCTAAAATTTGTATTCCTTTTTTTTTTTTTTTGAGCTATATCCCAGATATTGTTCCAGGCAGTTGCTGTGTGCTGCACAAAATTTGAGCTTTACACCAGCCTTTGGTGTTGGTACTTTTATTAACCCATCTTACCAGTGGGAACGTGAGCAAGTTTATTTGGCCAGGGCTCTGCAGCTAGTTACATGGCAGAGCCAGGATGTGGAGCCTGGGCAATGTGTTCTCACTCTTGCAGTGGTTCCCAGCCCGGGCGATTTCACTGCAGCCGCAGTTGATAAGGTCTGGAGATCATCCCGGCTGTCACAACTGGGGAAGGTGCTACTTACTCTTGTGGGTGAAAGCCAGGGATGCTGCTAAACATCCTTGGGTGCAGAGGACAGCACCCACAACAGAGAATTAGCCCGTTCCCACTGTTAGTGCAGCGTAGTGCCAAGGTTGAGAAACTTTTTGCTCGGTGAAAACGGTGTTTCTCAAAGTGATAAAGGACCAATTTTTGTTTTTTTAGTTTTTAATCAGTCACATCTGACACTTGTAAAATGCAATTAAAAATGAATTGCTAGTCAAACTCAAAGGCTAACAGGGGCCAAATAAACAAGGTTTACGTTTATGTGGGCCGCAAAAAACAAAAGCTTTGATTTTCATAGAAATGTAGGTTTCTTTCGATAGAGAGATGCTGAATACAAAGGGCTAAAATAAATGAGTTACCGTTAACATAAAATAATAGAACATTCTAATAAAAATTAGTATTTTTTCTGGAACATTAATTTACCAGACACTGAATAACTGCACAAATTAATAAGAGTAATGCAAGTAAACCTCTTTTTCTTGTTCTTTGAAAGCAAAATATTTCCTGTTGCGCACACCAAACAAGTCAGTCCAAGACTAATGACGTGGCAATCGGCTGCTAAAATATTCGCTGCTAGTATTAGTGGAGAGAAATGGTGCCCCTGCACATAAGGCGCATAAGGGAAATGAATGCAACGTTATTATAGTAATCATTAGTGAACATTGTAGTTCATTATTAATAATTATGTATAACAGGATATTGTAAAAATTGTTTCAAAATGTTTATTAAAATGTTGCTTACATACTGTTATATTGGCTGGGCTGCAAAAAATATTTGTTGTGGGCCACACCCAGGCCGCACCGCACCTTTGACATGCTTGCTACAAACTCTGCATGGTGTCATGTATCAATGTAGGTTCATAAATTGTAGCAAATGTACCACTCTGGTGTGGGATGTTGATGGTGGGGTTGGGTAGGGGCGGGAGGTGGTATACAGGTATATTGGAACTCTGTACTTTCTGCTCAATTTTGCTGTAAACCTAAAAATACTCTAAAAAACAGTCTATATTTTAGGAATAAAATAAATTACTAGCAAAATGAAATCTAAAAAGAAAAAAGCAAAGCCAATTATTTTATGATCAGATTCAATATAGACAAAGTTGTCAAATTGTTATAAAAGTTTCTAAATCAATACTCTCAGTTTCTATACTTAGAAGCACTATAGGAATTTATGTATGGATGTATATGTGTATTACATATCTCCATGTATATTGTACCTAATTTCTGGCTATCTAGTCCTGATAACCTAATGCAAGAATAAATATCCTATTCCTCTGTTCCTTTTAGCAGAAATGAGTTTGGTGATTAAAAATTATTAGATGGAAAAAGGGTAACTTTTATTCTAAATTTTGTCATTGATGCTATCACTCCACTCCTGTACCTGTTTTTTTATTTGTGGGAGGGACAGAGGAATCAGTATACTTCTGTGCTCTTGTCAAAATGCACATAATCCAGACAGTTACATAGCTTAACTCCTTACACCCAAAACTACCACATTAATCTGCACAAGTTAGATTCATTGTATAATTCTAAAAATTACCTTCTTCCATTTTTGGCATAAGTTGAATGATAAATCCATTAAGTTTAAAACAAGAAGACCTGAGTGATACCTGTGAGATAGTAGATATCAAAGTTATCTGTGACCAGAATAAGACAATTCAACAGTTTATATTCCCATATTCTTGGATTTAAATACGGAGATAATGTTATTGTATGGAGGAGTATAAAGTTATAGATGCAAAAACATTTTTAAATGGTTTTTTAAAGCCATGCAAATGGAAGAAATTTCTAAGAATGAAATTAAATTGGCTATTCTCATTCTAATAAGAACCAATGTTACTTGTTTTTAAATCTACTTAAATGTTTAAAATACTTAAAAGGCCAATTGGGAATATTTAGAGAGACAGGTAGTCTTTTGAACAAAATAATATGCAAGTCTTAGGCATGTTTCTGTCCTTTTCATTTTTACAGATTTTTTTGGAGCACTGTTAGAATTGTTCTATTTAGATCAAGATGTCTAGCAAAGCAAATGCTTCCAAGAAGAGGTCTCAACAGTTAAAAAGAAATCCAAAAAGAAAAATTGATGATAAGGAAGTGGAGTTATCAGAGAAGGAGGTAATGAAAATAACCTAGTTTATCATCCAGAACTCATTAGAAATATCATCTTTTCTCTGTAAAGGAGTATATGAAAACTAAAGGCTACTTTTACTGGAAATTATAGTAATTCATATTATGTGGGAGCTGTTACAGCATGATTTGTAAAAGTTCTCAGACAGACATTGTTTGCTTCAATTCTGAAGATATTAATCAGAATTCTTTGGGCAGGAGTGGGTCATAGGGCATTGCTAAAGAATTTAAATGGGAAGACTAGGAATAAAGGATACAAATTCTACGGCATTCATATGTTAAAAGAAGAGAATATGACAGCTGGTGGAGGAGATTTTTATTAAGATAGAGAAAAATTAGTTCTGTGGGAATTAGCTTTTTCCTACCATGACTTTACCATCTCTTTTAAAAGAATAAATGACTAAATAATCACATTTTTTCTTCCGTTTTACCCTGTATTAGGCAGTGCCGCTATTTGTTTTGCAGATTACGTATGTAACACTATTTTGCTGGCAAAATGAGAAATTATTTCTTTAAAACATTGTTTGAGATCCTAGGACATTCTATTATACATTATTACCATTGTCCAGGAGTTGCTTTAGTTGTATTTTTTGCCTGAGACAAGTACATGCCCTCTTTCTGTAAAAGTGGCAATATACTTTTTTCTACCTAGGCAAAAGTTATATGAATACTCTTCCAAATAAGTGACAAATCTATTGCCAAAGCAAAAATTTTTTTATCTGGTGTTTAATTCTTCCTGTGTATGTGCACATGTTTTCCCCTCTAGGTTAAAAACACAGTGAAAAAAAATAAAAATCATCCAAAGCATCTGTCTTCTAAAGGTATTTCTTTTCTATATCTTGTTGAACTGGCCTTTCTCAAGCTATGCTTATTCATGAAAAAATTATCAGTATCTTGGTTATGAGTTCTGCAAAAGCAAAGGATAGTAACAAACTGCAGCATTCTCATTTTTGCAAGAATA